GCCTCTTCTGCCTCCAAGAACTTCACTGCTCAAAGCATTAGAACCATCTGCTCTGCTTTGGACAATCAGGAAATGGAACTCAAGCTGAATGGCCATCCAGAGAAGACCTGATGCCGTGAACAAACCTGCTGGCCCACCAGAGCACAGGTCTGATGACACAAACCTCCCGTCACTGTCCTCTTTTCCTGGCCACATGCAGCGGCTGCTCCTATTCCTGCCTTTACTTGCACCTGCCTCTCTTTCCTAAATCCTCCCCAGCTCTCACATAAGATTTAAAACCTTACAGGTCTGATGTAATCTGACTTCTCCGACCTCTTCAACTTTACTTCCATCCCCCTCCTCACTTCCTCCTGGCTTGTTCCTGTCTCAGGGTCTTTGCACTTATACGAATCATTGCATGGCTGCCCCTGTGTCAGTCTTCAGATCTCAATTTGAACACCACTTACTCTGACCACAGCCATAGAAACACATGTCAGGCCAATGGGGAATCCCCTCACAGGAGACCCAGGGACAGGAGAGGAGCATGGAGTATTGGGTGGAGGAGCCATGAGAACATCCTTTGCAGGCCCCCTCCTGTGCTGAGAAGATGGGAGCAGCTGAGCTGCTGTTCACGCCTGTCCAGTATCTCAATTTCAAGGCCTCTGACATCACTCATTCCAGTTCATTCACCTGCTTCCTGTTCCCACCCCATCTTTAACAGGAACATTCCAGCTGAAAGCTCAATGAAGGTAATCTTTTTTCCCTTGGATGGGGGCCCAAGAACAGGCCCTGCCTCCCTCTTCATACTAATGGTGGTCAAGAAGCCTTGGTTCTTCCTGAGCCCCCCAGTCTTCCTCTCCACTTACCTTGACCGTACGGATGTAATCCAGTGCATTGGGTACCAGGGACTCCAGTTCGGGAAATCTCTTTGAGTACTTGTCCCGGATGAACTTATGGATGATGTCTAAGGTGAACAGAGAGGGCAGGTGTCCAGTGAGTGGGGGAGGCAAACTCTGCTGGTTGTCCCCAATACCCATTTCCCATTCTTCCTTTAGTAACCAAACCCCTGAATTGCACAGACACCCAGCATGAACATATAACATTTCCTGGCTGCCCCTAACGCTTGGTGTGACAACGTGACTTAGTTCTGGTCTATAAAATGTGAGCTGAAGTAACATGTTCTTAAAGAAAACAACTATATCCTCTTCTTCCCTCTCCTCCCTCCTGGTGGGGTTGTGGAGGTGATGACTAAAGATGGGGCAGTCACTTTGTACCATGAAACAGGTGATCAACAAGATAGAAAGAACCAGGGCCCTACGGGCAATCAGGATGCTACACCAGGCCTCAACTGCTCACTTGGACTTTCACACGTGAGAAAAATGCACTTCCTTCTTATTTACGCCTCTCTGTTAACAGCAGCTGAACCTGGATTTGAGCTAATACAAGGAGTTTGGGGGCAGGACCCTGGGAAAGGCCGGCAGGGGAAGATGGTAGAGGAGGGTGGAAGGGCCACCAGACAGGGCTTGTCCTTGCCGACACTCACTCAGCTCATTCTCGATCTCCACAGTCAGGTTGTTGGCATCCACGATGACCCGGTACTCAGGGGCTGCCTCCACTGGTCCCATCACTGTGAGGATGAGAAACAGCCTGGGTATGACTGTATGTCTAAACACTCACCCCCTTCCAGGTCCCACAGCTGGGGAAGACTGACGATGAGGCTGGAGGGGAGCAGGAAGGAGGGGCTGAAGAGTAAGCTAAGGGACAGGTTTATGTGTCTGCAAACCTTGATCTCCCTCCCTACAGCCTGACTTCCAGGCCAGTTTAGACTTGACTCCACCTTGCCCTGGAAATAACCCCTCCCGTGGCTCTCCACACCTGAGGCTAAAAACCAAGCTCCCCAGATTGACATTTGAGGCCTCCCAAAACACTGGAAGCCCCACAAGGACAAGTACTATGTCTGTTTCCATGGCTGCACCTTTGGTACCCAGAATGGCTCTTGGCATGTTGGAGTCCCTCAGTCAGTATCTGTTGACTCATCAAACTCTGCAGTCTGGTCTCTCCACCTTCCCAACCCCATCCCTTCACCATGCCTCTTCTGTTCTATTACACCCCAGTCATAAAGGACTAATTAGTGTCCTGAACACCTGAGGCTGTTTTATGCTTCCTGGCCTTTGCTCATGCTGTTCCCTCTCCCTGGAATGTTCCTTCTTCACGTCTGTTTCTGGAAAGTCTTTCTTCGTGCTTTAGTAATAATAATAATGGTGTTAATGATGATGATGATAGTATTATCATGAGTAGTTGTCATAGCAGCTGACACATACAGGATCTACCCTGAGTCAGACATTGTTCTAAGTGTCACATGGGTATTAACTTAGTTCATCCAAAGGCACCTGGGGAAGTAGGCATTAAATTAGACCAATTTTGCAGACAAAGAAACGAAGGGTTCTGCCTTATGTCACGAACCCAGTAGATGGCAGAGGTAAGATCTGACCCCAAACAGGCGGCTTTAGAGTCTATCTTAACACTGATACACAAATGCCTCTTTAAGTCCTTAAGATTCAGGTGACTAAGAATCCCTCCCTCCCCTTTTGGAAGGGTCACATGTCTCTTCTGCACTCCCACAACACTTGTGCCACCTCCATTAGACACAAATCGCCACCTGGATTTGGGATGTTTCAAGTTCACCTCTCCTACCAGACACCAGGTGTGACTGTGTCTGACTCAATTCCTGAGCCTGGTGTGACATGAGGAAATTTCACTTTTTGTGGCTGCCTATGGCTCTCTAGATCAAGTTCCTCAGCTTGACCTTCAAAACTCTGTAGGATCTGGCACTTTCCTTCATCTCCCCTTGCACTCCTGATGTCCAAGGCTCTAGGCATGCTGTTCTCTTTCCCTGGGCCCCCTTCCTGTTCTTCTTTGCTTGGCATATGTTTTCATGCTCCAAAGTCCAGCTCATATCAATTCTTCCGTGACCTCTGAGGCAGGGTCAGCCAGTCTCCCCAATGGATCCAGAGTGTCTTGAGCTTGATACCAACCACCAGTAAGTGTCTGGGACCTGGCCTATCTCCTCCACTAGACCCTGAGCATTTTGAGAACAAAGACCTGGGCTGATTCAGTTGAGTGTCCAGGAGAATGTTAAAGAAAGGAAGGAGTGAGTCTTCCTGAAACTCTGCTCTGTGATCACACTAATTCTTTGCCCAGCAACCTCCCTGCCTTTCTGTTGTCAACAAATTCCACTTAAGAGCCTCACCTCAAGAAGAAGAATGGGGGAGTTAATAGGACTGCCTTTTTAAGAGTCTGTCTGGGTACTCAAGAGATTGCCCAGCATTCCCCAGAGTTGGAAGTAAGAAAAGGTTTCAGGTGATACTTTAATAACTGTGTATTTATTTTTTTGGTTATTTTGTATTTACCAAATGATACCGGTTTTCCATTCATAGTAGTCATACATTTCCTTCTTAGGTAAATTTAAGGAAAAAGTCCACTGATTTAAAGAGAATGTTAAGTAACTAATAGAAGGAGTGGTTTATAAACGTGGCAAAAATCCTGTAACTGGTCTTGTGAATCACTGAAGTTTGAGAAACCGAGATAAGTCCTATCATAATTAGTAAGTGCTCAGCACAGAATAAGGACTTAAAAAGCATCACCTGTATAACACAATATATTTTTAGAGTAAAAGGGAACTAGGGTGGGATGGAAGAAAAGAAGAGAGCTCTGGAAAAGACTGAGAGAAAGATACACCCAATTTTCAAAGCCACAAACAGCAAAAGAGTCAAGGGGCCCCACAGGAGAATGAAAAAGGGAAGGAGAGGAGAAAGTACCTTCTGAAGCTTTGGCTTGCTTGCTGATATACTCCTCAATCTTCATCATGATCTCAGCAAACTGTTAGGGAAGTAGAATAGAGTCAGAACCCAGGACTCTTCAAAAAGAAGAGCTACTGCCCCATCACCCTTTTCTGGGAGCTCATGTTTTCTCACCATCTTGCTGTCCCATAGCTTGGCAATACTCTTGACCGAATCCCCCGAAAGATCCAGCTGTGTCTCCTCTTGCACATCCTCGATTGCTGGCTCTTCTTCTTCCTCCCCATAGCTTCCTCCTTCCTCCTCTTCCGCAGCCTCCTCGAGGTCAGCCAAGAGCTCATCTGCCAGCGACATCCCGAGGCCTATGGAGAGGGAGAGCAGGGTTCCCTAAAACTGTCCCCCAAACAAGTCCCTCCTTACTACCTGGCGGGGATTCTCCCCCAGAAGGTCCTGGTTCTTGTTTATCAACCCCGCTAGCATGCAACCTCCACAACGACAGGGACTTTCGTTTGCTTCGTGCACTGCGGTATCTCCAGCTCCTAGGCGTGCAAGACACAGCACATCCCTAGAACCACCACCTTGCTAAGACTTCTTCCCACCTCTGGGTCTTCGCACAACTGGTTCCCGCTGCCTAAATGACTCTTTCCCTCACTCTTAACTAGCCCAACACCTCCTAGTCGTCAGCTCTCATATTTCACCTTCCCAACCCACATGCCCCACTCCAGACTAGGGTAGGATGCTTTGTGATACATGCCCCACATGCCCTGTATGTCTACCCTAACGCGCTTCATATATTTATGATTATTTAATTACTGGACTAAGACCGCCTCCCTAGCATCAGTCAAATCTCTACAAGGGCAGGGAACAATTTTTGCTCCTGACATATCCCCAGGGCCATACCATGGTAAGAGCATATGAAAATCCTTGGGTAAGCCTTTCTTCTTACACACTTCCTCCCCCAGACCCGGGAGTCTGGCCTACCGCCCCTCTCCCACCCCACCCTCCACCACACTCACTTCTGTCCTCCTCGCACGACGGTTTCTATGAAATTAGCTTCTCGAGAGAGGTCGACGCTCACTGATGACGTCGTACACTTGCGCCGTGATCGAGGCAAAACCGCGCTCTGATTGGCCGTCGCCCCGCGATGTTCCTGGCCCCACGAAACAACAACTTTATTAGCACCTGCTAAGCGGAGAAGAAGTAAGCAGGAAAGAGGAGAGGGGACTGTCGGACTCACGAGCCGCCGCGGACTGAGTCTGCTAAGTGGAAAAGCGCCGTGGTCGGACGACGTGGTGTCTAGACACTAATGACGGTGACAACTCAAGACGACGGGTGGCGGCGTTAGACGAGAAAGCAAGGCCTTTAAGCCGGGACTCCAGGTGGAAGTGGGACGGATGGGGCAGGAAACGGAGACAGAAATAGGAAACTACAACTCCCAGGAGGCCTAGGGGCCGAGTCCCGGCTTCTTCGGCCGTGAGTCTGATGGGGCAGGTAGTTTTGCGTTCTGCTTAACGTCTAGGTTTGCGAGAGAGATGGAACTGGAGCAGAGAGAGGGGTAAGTGGCTGAGCCTTTGTGGGAAACTGCGAATCCCAAAAGACACTGCGGCTGTAGATGCGCAACCATCTGTGCTCTTACCCTGAGGGCTGGTGGGGATTGTAGTTCATGCAGCTGCTTTGCCTTCGAACCCTTTCAGGGACTGGGGTCTGTACTGGGGGAGGAGAAGTCTAGCGGTCGATCTGGACTCCTGGATCTGAGACTAGGAGGTTGGAGACCTGGATTCCTGGGTCTGAGTGAGGGGTTGGGGGCTTGAACTTCCCTGGGTCCTGGGGGAGGAAGGGTCCGGAAGTCTGAACTCCTGGATCCTGGGAGAAGGGGGTTGGGGCTCGCACTATTGTGGGTCCTGGGAAGGAAGGGCTGGGCCCTGACTCCTGGGTCTGATGGAGTTGGGATCTGGATCGGGAATCCAGGGTCGCTGACCTCCCTTCCCCCCTACCCTACCCCAATCCGTACAGGACCATGGCAGCCGTGGGCTTTGAGGAGTTCTCAGCTCCACCAGGCTCCGAGTTGGCCCTGCCTCCGCTGTTTGGTGGCCACATCCTGGAGAGCGAGCTGGAGACAGAAGTAGAATTTGTGTCCGGTGGTTTGGGCGGCACTGAGCTCCCGGAGCGCGACGAAGAGGAAGAGGCAGCCCGGGGTCGGCGGCGGCGCCAGCGGGAACTAAATCGCAGAAAGTACCAGGCACTAAGTCGGCGCTGCCGGGAGATAGAGCAGGTAGGTGAGTGCGGATGCCCCCTGTTTTGGGGTCCCCTGGCCTAAATTACCACCCCTCTCCCAGTCTGCAGCCTTCCTTGGTTATCTGAATGAGTTTTTCACTTATTTATTAACTATTTATTTATTCAGCACCTATTATGTCTGGCACTGTGTCAGGCAGCTGGAGAGCTATCTTCTCTAGGAGATTTCTGACGACCCAGGTGAGCTCTCTAATGTCTCACACGTGCTTCTCACATGTGTCACCGATCTCTGGTAAAAGCCCAAGCCCTTTAAATCTCCCATACCCCTGACATGGATCATTCCTCAGGTCCAGTTCATTCTGCCTCCTGACTCTTCCTTGGATCCTTTTCCTCCCCTCAATCCCCACAGCCCCACACTCAGGTTCTCTGGGCTGAATCATTGCATTAGTTTCCTTGGTGAGAATGAGGATGGAGCAGTAGGCAGAGCCCAAGTCTTGACAGGCCAGGAACACCAGGGCAAGAAGTTTGGATTTTTTTTTTCCTTGAGAGTGAGGGGGAGGCATTGAAGTCTTTCAAACAGGAGAGGGATGGGGCCACGTTTGAAAGACTGTGATGATGGTTCTATTGGTTTGCTAGGGCTCCTGTAACAAAGTCCCACAAACTGTGCAAAGCAACAACAGAAATTTACTATCCCACAGTTCTGGAGATAGAAATCTGAGATCAAGTCGTCAGCAGGGCTGGTTCCTTCTGAGGGCTAAGGGAGAATCTGTTTCATGCCTCTCTCCTAGTTTCTGTTGGTTTGCTGGCGATCTCTGGTATTCCTTCATGTGTAGAAGCATCACCCTGATCTCTGCCCTCATCTTCACCTGGCATTCTCCCTGTGTGTGTGTCTGTGTTCCAATTTTCCCCCTTTATAATGATACCAGTCACATAGATTAAGGTCCACCCTAATGATTTCATTTTAACTTGATTACCTTTGTGAAGATCCTGTCTCCAACTAAGGTCACATTCTGAGGTACTGGGGGTTAGAATTCCCAACATGCCTTTTTGGGGGGACACGATTCAACCCATCACAATAGTTTTGGAGAATTTTGGAAGAGAAGAGGCTGGAAGCCAGGAAACGAGAGATATTCTGAATGCTGTTTAACAAATTGATACGAAACCCCAAAGGGACATAATTTGGGTCTCTGCTCTTAATCCACCCCCCTAGAAATAGGTTCTGTTATTATTCCCATTTAACAAATGCAGAAGCTCAAGGCTCAGAGAAGTTAAGTAATTTGCCCAAGCTCACAGAGCTAAGTGGCAGAGCTAGAATTTAAACTGAGTTCTTTCTGACCCAGGAGCAGCATACTCTTCAGCCACTGTATTAGGTTCCCTGTTTGGCTTAGTCATGTCTCTCTCTCCTTCCATGACTAGGCTGGAGTCCTCAGAAACTGTGTGTGCAGGGGACATTCCCTAAGCCTGGAATGCTTTCCTCCTGGCTTGTCACTCAGTTGTCTCCTCACCATTCAGGTCTGGGTCCACAGGTCTTCTCTGATGGTCCTAACTAAAGTGTCCACCTCCTGCCCTGATCTCTAGCATATCTGCCTGTTTGGTATCCTTCAAGCATGTGAAGTTTTTTGTTCAGCAGATATTGAGTGTCTACTCTGTGCCAGGCTCTGGTCAAGGCACTAGGGATACAGGCACAATCATTGTCCTTTTGGAGCTTATGTTATGGTTGGGTAGATAGACAATAAGCAAAATAAGTAAACAAGATACAAAGTGATAATGAGTGTTATAAGGAAAAATAAAGCTGGGAAGAGTGGATGGGTGGTGGCATGGGAATTGGGGGGAGTATCACAACTTAATGCGAGGTCTGGGTGGGCTACTTGAGCAGGTAGCATTTGTGCTAAGACTTGAGGGAGTAGGGGAGTGAGCTGTGTAGATATCTGGGGAAGAGTGGTCCAAGGAGAGGGAACAGCATGTGGAAAGTCCCCCAAATAGGAGAGTGCTCAGAGGACTCAAATATCAGCTTCGATACCAGCATGGTTGGTATGGATGAGGGAGAAGAGCAGGAGGTGATGGGAAGATGGGAAGGAATAGATTAAGTAGGGCCTTAGACTATGGGATGGTCTTTGCAGTCTCCCCAGAGCTTAGTACATAGAAGGTGCTGCATTAACCATTTGTTGAATAAATGAGTGGGAGAATGAATGGAATCCAGATGATTTGTGTTTTTTTCCACCTTCTGCAGGTGAATGAGCGGGTCTTGAACAGGCTCCATCAGGTGCAAAGGATAACTCGAAGACTTCAGCAGGAACGGAGGTAGCCTCTTTTGCACCCACTCTGGGCCCATAAGGCCCTGCTCCCAAACGTTTCCACCACCCCTTGCCGCCTCTCCCCATCTTCCCTGTCTGCCTGGCTGTCACAGGCCACAGGGAGGAGAGGCTGGAGATGAGGACTGGGGGCTGAGGCGAACAGGGACGAAGAGTGGAATTGGGTCTTCGAGGAGAGCTTAACTGGGGGAGGGGCCAAGTGGAGCAGGACAAGATAGCAGAACGGAAGGGGCACTGGCCTGATAGTCAAACCTGGTTGCAAGCACTTGTATGCTATGCGACTCTGAGCAAGCGCCATGCCCCTCTGAGCCGCAGTTCTATCAGCTAAGGATAACACCAGTATCAAAAGGCTGCTGCTGTGAGGGCTAAACCAGCACTCACAGGTGATGAGCCCAGCTCAGAGATTCCCACCATGCAAGTATCACTGTGACCAGGGGGGCGTGAGCTGTGGAGTCAGCCTGCCCCAGATTTGATGCTGACCCTGCCATTCACAGTGTCCCAGCAAAATGGGAACAAGCCTAGTGATGAAGGGCAACAAGATGCTGAGTCCATCCATCAGTTTTCATCCTGGCCCTCGACTCATTTGATGTGGCACATTTGATCCATTGGATACGTCCTTTTCTTTGAAGCACTTTCTTGGCAACCTGGTCTCTCACCAGCCTGGATTTCCCCTGCCTCCTGGGCTGTTCCTTCTTGATTGCCATTGCTGTTTTATCCTCATTTCCCCAAATCCTAACTCTGCAGTTCCCCAGGGCTCAGCCCTGGATCCTCTTCTGTCCCAACCTATGCTGTGCAGTACAGCAGCCACCAGCCACAGGTGGTGACTTCCACTTAAATTTAATTATCTAAAATTAGAATTTTAAATTCATTAAATTTTAATTCATTACAGTGAAATTGAAAATTTAGTTCCTAAGGATGTCTTGCCACACGAGACATGACTTATTTAGACACAGATGGTGGTTTACACTGAAATTAATTAAAATGAAGTGAAATAAAAAATCCAGTTCCTCAAGTCACATTGGCCACATTTCATGTGCTCAGTGGCCATGGTCACGATTTTCATTTAAATTAATTAAAATTAAATGAGGATTTGTTTCCCCATACTGGCCAGCCGCCAAGAAATAAAAAATAAAATAAATGAAATTAAAAATTCAAGTTTGTCAGTCACTCTCACAACATGCCAAGTGCTCCATAATAGTCACAGGTGGCCAGTGGTTGCCATCTTGCACAGCACAGACACAGAACACTTCCATCCTCCCAGAAAGTTCTGGACAGTGCTGGTCTATATGTACCTCCTGTTGATCTGTGGTTTAAAGGCCACCTAAGTGCTGCCAACTTCCTAATTCTACCTACAGCTCTCCTCCGAACTGTATATATTCCTGCTGGACAGTGACTCTGGTTGTCTACTGTGCAAATGAAACCAACCCTGATCTTCCCCCCAAAGCTATTCCATGTCAGTGAATGAACTCCTCCCTGAATTGCTTGGGACACTTTGCTTGTTTCTTTCAACCCCACATCTAATCCATTAGAACTTCTGTCACCTCTACCCTCAGAATATACTGCTACCAACCTGGGCTGAGGGATATGGCCTCTCACCTGGATTACTACTCTCTAACTGGTCTCCTGCCTCTCCCTTATCCCTTAAGTCTCTTCTCACAACAGCGTGGGTGAACCCCTCTCCTCCCTTTTCTCCCCTATTTGTACCTTTAGCCAAGATTTTATTTCATAGTGGGATCAGGAGAGTTTATGAAAGGGGCTGGTGGTCTTTATGGTTAACCACATTAAAAAATTGAGGAAGTATGTGGACATACTAAACTTCTCTTAATAATTTAATACATGTTGGACAGGGTAATTATGCTTTCTGAACTCTTTATCTGGAGCCTAGCCCCATGGTTCTCGACATGTGGCCCCCGGACCAGCAGTATCAGCACCCCACCACCTGGGAACTTGTAATAAATGCAAGTTCGCAGGCAGTGTCCCAGACCTACTGTATCAGAAATTTGGGGGGTTGTTCATATGGTCTTTTAAAATGTAAGAATAACCAAATTACTCTGCTCAGAACCCTGCGGTGAGTCAGATTGACTCAGAATAAAAGTGAACATCTTTACAACAGCTGACAGGGCCCTACACATGCCTCTTTGCTCTTCCTAGAACACACCAGGCACACTCCCACCATGAGACATTTGCACTTGCTGTTCCTTTGACCAGAAGTGTCCTTCTGCCATTCCTTCACCTTCTCAGTCTTGCTCTTCCTAGAACACACCAGGCACACTCCCACCATGAGGCATTTGCACTTGCTGTTCCTTTGACCAGAAGTGTCCTTCTGCCATTCCTTCACCTTCTCAGTGAGGCCCCCTCCCCCATCCATTTGAAGTACTGTATTAGTCCATTTCTATTGCTTATAACAAAATACCAGCAGCTGGGCAATTTGTAAGAAAATGAAATTTATTGCTTACAGTATTGGATGCTGGGAAGTCCAAAGTCCAGGGAAACACATCTGGTGAGGGTCTTCTTTGGTGGTGGTTTTATAGCAATGCAAAGGTCTTACATGGCAGAACATGGTGGAGCAGAGAGACTCTCATGTGCTCTCAAAACCACGCCTCTGACCACCATTTTTAATCCATTCACTACGGCATGGTCCTACAATCTAATCACCTCTTCAAGGCCCCACCTTTCAATTACCACAATAGGATTTCCCACCCTGTTTACACTGTCCGCAGTGGGGACTGAGTCTTGGGGGGACATCAATCTATAGCATATACCAATCCAGGTATCATCCATCTTCCCACTTTCTGATGTTCTGTTGATTTGCTTATTGTCTATCTCCCCTGCAAGACCCTGAATTCCATAAGCATAGGGATCTTTGTTTTGTCCCCTGACATATCCCCAGCACCTGGAACAGTGCTAGGTACAGAGCAGGCACTCAATATGTATTTATGGAATGAAAGAGATCACACACATAAAATGTATTTGAATGTTTAATAAGTGCTGATACTCACATTAAGTACATTAGAGAAACTGTCTAGTTGAAGTGTCACTATCACAGCACCCAGCCAGTTAAGGTTGTCATCTCTGTTTACACAGTAGGAAATTAAGGATCACAGAGGTAGCCTTATCTTGCCCAAGGTCCACTAGCTGGTCAAGTGTTTGGCTCTCAATTCTCAGACTCCAGAGCTCTGCACCTTCTGGGTTGAGGACAACTTTGTCTTCAAATGGAGTGAGGGCTGGGCTCTATCATCCATCTCTTTTCCCCAACTGCTAGAAGATAAGTTATTCTGCTGATGGCTTCTCTGTCCATGCAGGTTCCTTATGAGGGTGCTAGACTCCTACGGGGATGACTACCGGGCCAGCCAGTTCACCATCATGTTGGAGGTGAGCACTGAGTCTCCAGGTGGGTTGGGGGAACTGGGAGCCCAGGACACAACCTTTATCTGCCTCCCCCTTCTCCCCACCAGGATGAGGGCAGTCAGGGCACAGACACCCCCACCCCAGGCAATGCTGAAAATGAGCCTCCAGAGAAAGAGGGGATGTCCCCACCCAGAAGGACTCCCGCACCCCCAGAACCCAGCAGCCCAGCCCCTGGGGAGGGCCCCAGCGGGCGTAAGAGGCGGCGAGCACCCCGGGATGGACGCCGCACAGGAGCTGTGCTGACTCCAGAACTGGCCCCAGTGCAGGTGGGAGAGGGAGGTATCCCTGGGGCTCCTGGGTTCCGCTGCTTGTGCCTGAGGGGCCCAGGGCTGTGGAAAACTGGAGAAAGGAGGTGAAGCAGGAAGGGTTGGAGGAGACCTGGGGTTGGGCAGGGAAGGACAACGAGTTGGAAAAAGGCCATCAAAGGCTTGGTTAGAAAAGGAGGCAAACTTAGAAAGGGAAGGAGGAAGACCTAGAGAAGGAAAAATAACTGGAGAAGGTTGGGAGCAGAGAAGGAGGAACAATCAGAGAAAATGGGGTGGAAAAGAAGACAGGCATGGGGAGGAAAATCTAAAGAACATTTGGACCTGGGATCATTGGGATTGCCTCAGAGGTGCATGGAGTTGTCTGGCTTGGGAAAGCAAGAATGCTGAGGCTGATGGTCACCTTCTAGGGTTCCAAGCCTACTCAGGCCTTGTTCCTTATCTCTCCTAGATTAAAGTCGAGGAAGACTTTGACTTTGAAGCAGACGAGACCCTGGATTCAAGTTGGGTTTCTCGAGGGCCAGACAAACTGCTGCCGTACCCCACCCTAGCCAGCCCACCCTTTGACTGACCTCACCCACCCCCAATAAACTGACCCTCACACTCACCTTGGCCACTGTCTACTGTTCCCACCTCTAATCACATACACACTCAGATTCTGGGCTTTTCACATTTTTATTGGGGGCTGCAGAGGAGGGGGCCTCCTTCCTGTCAATGGAGATGCTCACAGTTTCTTCAGCCATTCCAAGCTGGGTCCCTGGGGATCCTGGGGATGGCTAGGCACATCGGGCATATTCCCATCATCTCGGAGGGGCACTGCAGGACAGGAGGGTGGGCCACTGAGACCAGCAGATCTCCAGGGCCCTGTAGAGAAGAGCTGGTCTATCAGTTTATATTCAGAGAAGGAAACGGGACTCCAGAGGAGAGATGAGAGAGGAGAGTAAGGGTCAAAGAACCAGGGAGATACAGAGCTAGAGACATAGAAAATGACAGAGAGAGACAGAGACAGAGAGAGAGATATCCAACAGAGATGGGAAAACAGACCTGGAAAGATGGAGACCCAGAAAGCAAGAGAGATGGGAACCCAGAGAGGGAAAGAAATCTGGAAAGATAAGAGAAACTCAAAGCACAAAAACAGAACAGTATGTGAATTATATCTAAATTTAAAAAAAAAAAAAAAATCAACCGGGAAAGAGTCTAGATGGCACTGCTGAATCTCTGATCCCTGCTTAGGAAAGACCTGCCCATAATGATCCCTCCCCCAGCACAGGGAGACTGGCCCTATCCCAGCAGCTCTGTTCAGGCTCCCACTTACCTGGGTAGTTGTAGGGAGTGACTTGGTTGATCATGATGGCATACTTGGTGTAGGGGCTGAGTGGAGGCAGAATTATAGCTGTGGAGAGACACTGGGGTAAGGCCCAGGAGAAGGTGGCTCTAGGAGGGAGGAGGGGAAAAGAGCAGAAGCTGAGGGGGTGGGGGAGAGGCGTGTCAAGTGTATGGGGGTAGGGGGGCACGGAGGGCCAACACCTCCAGGAAGACCCTTCGCCCCTTGGTACCCTCGAATCCCCATTTATGGGTAGAAGGGTTTAAAACTTTTGTGGGAATAAGTTGAAGCCCAGCATTCACGGGTACATCTAGAGGGTAGAGAGGAGGGAGCAAGAGGGGTTGGTCATGGAGCATCCTGGGAGGAGTGTTTAGGAATGTTCCAGAGTTATCATGAATTGTTACAAACTGGAGGACAGAAAGCTGTACAAAGAACAGTCATTGATAAGTTACAGTCCATCTAGGGTGGGAGCCAGGAGTCCTGGGGGGTGGGGTAGGGTGTACAAACAGAATGTTCCAGGCCAGTGCTGTCTCATAGAAAGATAAGAGCCACCGATGTAATTTTACATTTTCTATTAGCCATATTAAAAATAAAGTTAATTTGGATTCCTGTACAGGCCAGCCACCAATAAATAAATAAATAGTTAAAAGATACAGATAAAATTAATTTTAAAAAATGTATTTAACCCGGTATATCCAAAACATTACCCTTTCAACATATAATCAACAAAAATTGTTGAGATAACTTACACACCTTTTGTCATACTAAGACTTTGAAATATGGAGTGTCTTGTACCAACCATCTCAATTTGTACCAGCCACACTTGACGTGCTCACAGGCCACATGTGGTTAGTGCCTTCCGTATCGGACAAGTGTTCTAGAACCTTACCTAGTCTGTGACCTGGGAACTTGTTAGAAATGCAGAACCCCAGGTCCCATCTCAGACCTATTAAATCAGAACTGGCATTCTAACAAGACCCCTCCCTCCCCCCAAGGGACTCCAATGCACACTAAAGATTGAGTAACACTGTTCCAGAGCAGAGGTTCTCAATCAGGGAGACACATTAGAATCATGATGGATTTTCACATGATACAGATTCCCCAGCCTCCCCTCCAACCCAGCCAACTCAATTCACAATTGAAGGGGGAAGAGACAATGAAAGGAGGAAGAATCCGGACATTATTATTATTTTTTAGCACTCAGGTGTTTTTAATGCACAACCAGGGTTGAGAACCTCTCCTTAGAGGAATTATGGAGGTCTTGGGTAGACGTGCATGAGGTGGGCAGGGATGGGGGTGCTGATAGTGGGTTATTTATAATGTTGGGAATGGGGGTAGGAAAGGGGACGCTCTGAGGGTGTTGGCACACTGGTGGAGGCCCAGAACGTGGAGGGCGACGATGGGACCCTGGGGGTACAAGATGGAACGATGGTAGGGGTGATGGAATGTTGGTGTGGGCATGATGCCCGTTCGCGCCCGGGGCACTCACGCACCGAGGGTCCCTATGGTGAAAGACGCGACCAACACCGGCTCCTTGGCCCAAGCATTCTTGAGGAAGGCGGCGAGTCCTGGAGGGGTGGGAGAGGAGGGTCACCCTTGCAGACGCTGCCCCCGGTGACCTCTAACCCTCTTGTGCCACTCCACCCCCCGGACAGCCCCTTCGTGATTTCTGAGTCTCCCTCCAGGACGGACCCCATCTCCTAACCCAGGAGCTCCGTCCTGCCTTAGTCCTAGGACTGCCCGGGGGTTCCCGGAACTACCCCAGCCCCAAGGATCCGCTGCGCCTACACTTACTCGCGGCCATCTTGGTCTCGGCGGCGGCGGGGACGCGGAGCACTCTGGGAGTTGTGGTCCCTGCGTGCCAGGCTCCGTTCTGAGTCCGCGCGTGCGCACTGGTACGGAACAAAAAACCGAGGCGGCGGCGGGAAAGGAGGCAGTGCTTTTTTAGCTAGCCTCTCTTTGTAAACCTGCGCGAGCTCTCCTTTCTCCCTCAACCCAGAAGTCGCTTTGGAGGAGTACGTCCTCTTGCTGCGACCCACCTAGAACGAGATAAAATAGTGTTTATTTTATACTTTATTTATAAAAGCCCGTTTTACGGATGGAGAAACTGAGACGGGAGAAGAGAAATGACTGACGTACCATTTCGCAGCTCAAAATAAGCTCGTCCTGAAAACGCTAGCTCTCATTCCAGATGGGTTAGGAGTCTTATGTGGGCTCTCACGGTGCTGTATGTTACCACCATTATAGCTCAGATTTTTTTTTTTTTTTTTTTAATGGACCTGATTCAGGTCTGTCTTTCAGTCAGACTGGGAACAGATTGAGGACAGTAAGGGGGTCAGTCTTCTCTGTGCCCCCAGCATCACGCAGCAATGGTCTGGCACATAAAAGGTACTTTTCCTTCAGTTGAATTAATGAACACAAGAAGTTATGACTGTCCCCTCTCCCAACTTTTTCCACAGCACCATGAGGCTGTGACACAGTCACCCAGGGGCCCCCACCTCACTCCTCCCTTCCCTGAACAGGGCTCTGGCTCTGGCTTTCTGATATTGCCTCATTTCTTGGGAGAGGAGGACACAGCTGAACCCTGACTCCAGTTCCGGCGGAGAACCGCAAACCATGGCCCTGGTGCTGATCCTCCATCTGCTGACCCTCTGTGAGCTGCACCCGCCATCCCCTTCTCCCTGGGTCTCTGGCTGGGCTGGGCGGTGGGGGTGCAGAGAAAGAAGCTCTGGGGACCCAGACACCCTGTAGGGGGACCAGACTGCACTAGCTGGGGGTTCTGAAATCTTGGTCAGAATAAGGGGCCCAGACTGGGGCCTAGACTCTCACGTCCTAAAGCAAGAGAACGTAGATTCCTGGAAGAGGATGGAGTTGGGGGCAGAATTCTTTTGATCTTGAGGCAGGAGGAGGGTAGAGGCCTGAACTCCTGGGGACAGGAAGTGTAGAATCTTAGATTGTCATGTGGGAGGGGGATGGAAGTTTGGACTCTGAGTCCCTGGAAAAGGAAGGGCTGGGAGCAGAGCTTCTGGGTCCTGAGGGAGGAAGGGACTGGGGACCCAGACTCCTGAATCCCAGGGAGGAGAAACTGTGAGCTCAGGTTATTGTCCCCTGGAAATGTGGAGCTCAAGGGCTTGAACTCTTGGTTGTAGAGGCAAGATGGAGTTGGGTTCGGACTTCTGGCTTCTTGAGCAGGTGGAGAGTCTGGATTTCTGTCCACTGAGAGAGGAGGAAAGAGGAGTAGGATTCTTTTTTCACGGAGGAAAGGGGTTGGGGATTTAGATTCCCAGGCTCCCAATGAGATGGGACTGGTAGCCACAAAGGGCTTTGAAAAGAATTTGCCCCCTCAACCTTCCACAGGGCCACAGTGTCATGCCAAAATTCCTCCATCTGGTGAGTAGCATCCCCCAACCATTCTCTTTTTCCAGCTTCTCATATTTTATTTTGGTGCCCAACCTCACTCCAGATTTCCTTATTTCCCTTCTTTCATTCCTTCCTTCCTTCCATCCCTTTCTTCTTTCCTTTTTTGCTTCCTTCCTCCCTTAGTGACCACTGTAGGCAAGTAGTGAAGACCGTGAACTTTGCAGCTAAAGAGATCTAAGCTAGAACCCCAGTCTCACCATCTTATTCATTATACGAGGGCACTTCAAAAAGTTTATGGAAAAATGGAATTGAAAGGTAATATGAATTTTCCCATGAACTTTTTGAACACATCTCATATGACCTTGAATAAACCACATCTTGCTAAGACTCCATTTCCTCCTCTACAAAATGTTGTGAGGATTTAATAAAAAATGTGTAAAAACCTTTGCTCAGAGTTTGACATAGAGCTCAAGAAACAGGATCTCCTGCAATTGCAATTATTCCTTCAAGTTCTTCCATTTGGAACCCCTTTCCACAAAAGTAGACACCTCCACCTTGAGATAGCTCTGGGTTTCTTTCTCAGTTTTCTGATGGGTGAGACTTCTTTCTCTCAAACTTCCTACCACTACACCCCAATTTCAAATAAGAATCATCCAGGGAACCGTTAATACCTTAACTAGTAATTCATTTAAATTAGTTTTAAATGAATTAGTTTTTGTGTTTTGGGGGGAGGACGGTGGTGACTGGCTGGTATGGGGATCCGAACACTTGACCTTGGTGTTATAACACTGCATTCTTACCAACTCAGCTAACCGGCCAGCCCTTAAATTAGTTTTTTTAATGATAAAGCTAATATACATTCATGGTTTTAAAAATTCAGTCATTACCAAAGGTCATATAACAGCCTCCCTCTTCCTCTTCCCCATTTTCCTTAAATAATCTTCTGAATCCTTACAAAAAATTTCCATGCATTCACACACATATATGTATTTATATACTTCCTTTTTTCTTTCCAAAGCAAAGAATATCTTGTGATTCAACTGTTTCTGCATCTTATATTTCTCACTTTACAATCTTTCTTGGAGATATTTCCATGTCACTATAACTAGCTCTACCTATTTTTTTTAAACCATGACTAGCATTTGCCATTGTATGCCTGGATTCTAGTTTGTTTGACCATTCGTTTGATGTACATTTAGGTTGTTTCCAATTTTTCACTCTCAACAATCAATGCTGCAAAGAGCCACTCCTGTATGAGTTCCTTGTGCATTAGTCTAGGGTGGAGCAGTGGAATTATTGGATCATTGGTTATGTCCTTCACGTGTCTTGATAGAAACTGACAAATTGCCTTCTCAAAAGGGGCACTTAATCAATCCTGAGTGCCTGTTTCATTACATATTCACCCAAACTGAATATTAACCATTGTTTTAATTTTGGTTAACCTGATAGGCAAAATGTCTTAGCATCGTTTTATTTTTGTTTCTTCATGATTAGTACTAAGGTTGAACAACTTTTCCACCTCCAAATGTGTTTTGGTCAATTGGACTTCCTCTTTTGTGAATTGCCTACTGATGTTTTGCCCAACTTTCATTGGATTGGTCCTAGGATTTCTTTCTATACTCTTAATCTATGTAATTTATAAATAAGTGATTTCTGCCAGTACTGTTACTTGCCTTTTAGCTTCATTTGTGTGTCTTTTAGCATACATAATTTTAAAAATAGATATTTTTTTTGGGGGGGGGCTGGCTGGTATTAAAATTTTTGAAGAGGTCAGATTTATTATCTTGTCTCATGAATTTTTCATTTTACTTTTTTTTTTTTTTTTTTTTTTTGCAGCTGGCCAGCATGGGGAACCAAACCCTTGACCTTGTTGTTAAAAGGCCCATTTTATATTTATTTATTTATTTATTTATTT